TTATAACAATTAAAGTTTGGACGGAATGATCTCCTTATCCCAACTTTGAACCTCAGTTGCAGTAGTTCCGTGAATTAACTCACCAGGTTCATCTAATCCGGGCAACTTTATGCCATTGAATTTCATCTGTACCTTATGTGATCAAAGCTTTGCCGCGTAGAGAATTGTTTTGACGAATTAAAGTTTTGAGGGGAAAAGGTCTCCATTTCCCAACTTTGGACCTCAGTTGCAAACGTTCCAAGAATTTATCCACCCGGACCATCTGTTCCAGGTAACACGTAGGAAATTGCCTATCATTTGTACCTAGTGTAGAAAAACGCTTAGCCGGAATGATTTTTTGACAAAATTAAACTTGGGATGTGATAGGGTGTGCAAACCCCAAATATGAAATCAGTTGTAGAAGTTCCGGAACTTTACCCACCTGCAGGTTCTTTAATCCAGGCATCCTGAGGTAATTAATATAATTTGTTACTAGAGTGGACAAATGCTTTACCGTGAGAAATTTTTAAGAATTCAAGTTGGGAGATACGGTCTTCAAACTTTGGACCTAAGTTGTAGGAGTTCCGTAACTTTACCCACCTTGGTCTTTGGGTTCAGGCAACCTTAGGCAATTGCCTATCATTTGTACCTTGTGTGGACAAAAGCTTGCCATAGTGATTTTTTATGAATTAAAGTAGAAGGGGGGTTGGGTCACCATATCCCAACTTTAGACCTCAATTTTAAAAGTTACGTAACTTTACCCACCTATGTCTTTGGGTCCAGGCAACCTTAGGCAATTGTTTATCATTTGTACCTAGTGTGGACAAAAGCTTTGCCGTAGGGACTTTTTTTATGAATAAAAATTGGGTGGTGGTAGGATCACCTTATCCCAACTTTGGACCTCAATTAAAAAAGTTCCGTAACTTTACCCACCTGGGTCTTTGGGTCCAGGCAACCTTAGGCAATTGCCTATCCATTGTACCTAGTGTTGACAAAAGTTTTTCCGTAGTGACCTTTTTTATGAATTGAAGTAGGGGGGGAAGAGTCACCATACCCCAACTTTGGACCTCAGTTGTAGAAATTACGTAACTTTACCCACCTGGGTCTTTGGGTCAAGGCAACCTTAGGCAATTGCCTTCATTTGTACTTAGTGTGGGCAAAAGATTTGCCGGAGGGACTTTTTTATAAATTAAAGAAAGGAGGTGGTTGGGTCACCATATCGCAACTTTAGACCTCAATTTTAAAAGTTACGTAACTTTACCCACCTATGTCTTTGGGTCCAGGCAACCTTAGGCAATTGCTTATCATTTGTACCTAGTGTGGACAAAAGCTTTGCCGTAGCGAATTTTTTTATGAATTAAAATTGGGTGGTGGTAGGGTCACCCTACCCCAACTTTGGACCTCAACTAAAAAAGTTCTCTAACTTTACCCACCTGGGTCTATGGGTCCAGGCAACCTTAGGCATTTGCCTATCATTTGTTCCTAGTGTGGACAAAAGCTTTGCCGTAGGGACTTTTTTATAAATTAAAATTGGGTGGTGGTAGGGTCACCCTACCCCAACTTTGGACCTCAATTAAAAAAGTTCCGTAACTTTACCCACCTGGGTCTTTGGGTCCAGGCAACCTTAGGCAATTGCATTGCCTATCATTTGTACCTAGTGTGGACAAAAGCTTTGCCGTAGGGACTTTTTTATGAATTAAAGAAGGGAGGGGGTTGGGTCACCCTACTCCAACTTTGGACCTCAATTACAAAAGTTCCGTAACTTTACCCACCTGGGTATTTGGGTCCAGGCAACCTTAGGCAATTGCCTATGATTTGTACCTAGTATGGACAAAAGCTTTGCCGTAGGAACATTTTTATGAATTAAAGAAGGTAGGGGGTTAGGTCACAATAGTTCCGTAACTTTACCCACCTGGGTCTTTAAGTTCAGACAACCTTAGGCAATTGCCTATCATTTGTACCTAGCGTGGACAAAAACTTTGCCGTAGGAAATCTTTTATGAATTAAAGAAGGGAGGGGGTTGGGTCACCATATCCCAACTTTGGACCTCAATTACAAAAGTTCCGTAACTTTACCCACCTTGGTCTTTGGGTCCAGGCAACCTTAGGCAATTGCCTTTCATTTGTTCCTAGTGTGGACAAAAGCTTTGCCGTAGGGACTTTTTTATAAATTAAAATTGGGTGGTGGTAGGGTCACCCTACCCCAACTTTGGACCTCAATTAAAAAAGTTCCGTAACTTTACCCACCTGGGTCTTTGGGTCTAGGCAACCTTAGGCAATTGCCTATCATTTGTACCTAGTGTAGACAAAAGCTTTGCCGTAGGGACTTTTTTATGAATTAAAATTTGGTGGGGGTTTGTTCACCCTACCCCAACTTGGACCTCAATTGAAAAAGTTCTCTAACTTTACCCACCTGGGTCTTTGGGTCCAGGCAACCTTAGACAATTGCCTATCATTTGTACCTAGTGTGGACAAAAGCTTTGCCGTAGGGACTTCTTTATGAATCAAAATTGGGTGGTGGTAGGATCACCCTACCCCAACTTTGGACCTCAATTAAAAAAGTTCCGTAACTTTACCCACCTAGGTCTTTGGGTTCAGGCAACCTTAGGCAATTGCCTATCATTTGTTCCTAGTGTGGACAAAAGATTTGCCGTAGGAACTTTTTTATGAATTAAAATTAGGTGGGGGTAGGGTCACCCTACCCAAACTTTGGACCTCAATTCAAAAAGTTCCGTAACTTTAGTCACCTGGGTCTTTGGGTCCAGGCAAACTTAGGCAATTGTATATCATCTGTACCTAGTGTGGACAAAAGTTTTGCCGTAGGAAATTTTTAATGAATTAAAGAAGGGAGGAGGTTGGGTCATCCTACCCCAACTTTGGACCTCAATTTAAAAAGTTCCGTAACTTTACCCACCTCGGTCTTTGGGTCCAGGCAACCTTAGGCAATTGCCTATCATTTGTTCCTAGAGTGGACAAAAGATTTGCCGTAGGAACTTTTTTATGAATTAAAATTAGGTGGGGGTAGGGTCACCCTACCCAAACTTTGGACCTCAATTCAAAAAGTTCCGTAACTTTAGTCACCTGGGTCTTTGGGTCCAGGCAAACTTAGGCAATTGTATATCATCTGTACCTAGTGTGGACAAACGTTTTGCCGTAGGGACTTTTTTATGAATTAAAATTGGGGTGTGGTAGGGTCACGCTACCATAACTTTGGACCTCAATTATAAAAGTTCCGTAACTTTACCCACCTGGGTCTTTGGGTCCAGACAACCTTAGGCAATTGCCTATCATTTGTACCTAGTGTGGACAAAAGTTTTGCCGTAGGGACGTTTTTATGAATTAAAATTGGGTGGTGGTAGGGTCACCCTACCCCAACTTTGAACCTCAATTAAAAAAGTTCCGTAACTTTACCCACCTGGGTCTTTGGGTCCAGGCAACCTTAGGCAATTGCCTATCATTTGTACCTAGTGTTAACAAAAGTTTTGCCGTAGTGACTTTTTTTATGAATTGAAGTAGGGGGGGAAGAGTCACCCTACTCCAACTTTGGACCTCAATTAAAAAAGTTCTCTAACTTTACCCACCTGGGTCTTTGGGTCCAGACAACCTTAGGCAGATGCCTATCATTTGTACCTAGTGTGGACAAAAGCTTTGCCGTAGGGACTTTTTCATAAATTAAAATTGGGTGGTGGTAGGATCACCCTATCCCAACTTTGGACCTCAATTAAAAAAGTTCCGTAACTTTACCCACCTGGGTCTTTAGATTCAGGCAACCTTAGGCGATTGCCTATCATTTGTACCTAGTGTGGACAAAAGCTTTGCCGTAAGGACTTCTTTATGAATCAAAATTGGGTGGTGGTAGGATCACCCTACCCCAACTTTGGACCTCAATTAAAAAAGTTCCGTAACTTTACCCACCTGGGTCTTTGGGTTCAGGCAACCTTAGGCGATTGCCTATCATTTGTACCTAGCGTGGACAAAAGTTTTGCCGTAGGAAATTTTTAATGAATTAAAGAAGGGAGGAGGTTGGGTCATCCTACCCCAACTTTGGACCTCAATTTAAAAAGTTCCGTAACTTTACCCACCTCGGTCTTTGGGTCCAGGCAACCTTAGGCAATTGCCTATCATTTGTACCTAGTGTGGACAAAAGCTTTGCCGTAGGGACTTTTTTATGAATTAAAATTTGGTGGGGGTTTGTTCACCCTACCCCAACTTGGACCTCAATTGAAAAAGTTCTCTAACTTTACCCACCTGGGTCTTTGGGTCCAGGCAACCTTAGGCAATTGCCTATCATTTGTACCTAGTGTGGACAAAAGCTTTGCCGTAGGGACTTCTTTATGAATCAAAATTGGGTGGTGGTAGGATCACCCTACCCCAACTTTGGACCTCAATTAAAAAAGTTCCGTAACTTTACCCACCTGGGTCTTTGGGTTCAGGCAACCTTAGGCGATTGCCTATCATTTGTATCTAGCGTGGACAAAAGTTTTGCCGTAGGAAATTTTTAATGAATTAAAGAAGGGAGGAGGTTGGGTCATCCTACCCCAACTTTGGACCGCAATTTAAAAAGTTCCGTAACTTTACCCACCTCAGTCTTTGGGTCCAGGCAACCTTAGGCAATTGCCTATCATTTGTACCTAGTGTGGACAAAAGATTTGCCGTAGGAACTTTTTTATGAATTAAAATTAGGTGGGGGTAGGGTCACCCTACCCAAACTTTGAACCTCAATTCAAAAAGTTCCGTAACTTTAGTCACCTGGGTCTTTGGGTCCATGCAAACTTAGGCAATTGTATATCATCTGTACCTAGTGTGGACAAACGTTTTGCCGTAGGGACTTTTTTATGAATTAAAATTGGGGTGTGGTAGGGTCACGCTACAATAACTTTGGACCTCAATTATAAAAGTTCCGTAACTTTACCCACCTGGGTCTTTGGGTCCAGACAACCTTAGGCAATTGCCTATCATTTGTACCTAGTGTGGACAAAAGTTTTGCCGTAGGGACGTTTTTATGAATTAAAATTGGGTGGTGGATGGGTCACCCTACCCCAACTTTGGACCTCAATTAGAAAAGTTCCGTAACTTTACCCACCTGGGTCTTTGGGTCCAGGCAACCTTAGGCAATTGCCTATCATTTGTACCTAGTGTTAACAAAAGTTTTGCCGTAGTGACTTTTTTTATGAATTGAAGTAGGGGGGGGGAAGAGTCACCCTACTCCAACTTTGGACCTCAATTAAAAAAGTTCTCTAACTTTACCCACCTGGGTCTTTGGGTCCAGACAACCTTAGGCAATTGCCTATCATTTGTACCTAGTGTGGACAAAAGCTTTGCCGTAGGGACTTTTTCATAAATTAAAATTGGGTGGTGGTAGGATCACCCTATCCCAACTTTGGACCTCAATTAAAAAAGTTCCGTAACTTTACCCACCTGGGTTTTTGGGTCCAGGCAACCTTAGGCAATTGCCTATCATTTGTACCTAGTATGGACAAAAGCTTTGCCGTTGGAACATTTTTATGAATTAAAGAAGGGAGAGGGTTGGGTCACAATAGTTCCGTAACTTTACCCACCTGGGTCTTTAAGTTCAGGCAACCTTAGGCAATTGCCTATCATTTGTACCTAGCGTGGACAAAAACTTTGCCGTAGGAAATCTTTTATGAATTAAAGTTTGGTGGTGGTAGGGTCACCCTACCCCAACTTTGGACCTTAATTAAAAAAGTTCCGTAACTTTACCCACCTGGGTCTTTAAGTCCAGGCAACCTTAGGCAATTGCATTGCCTATAATTTCTACCTAGTGTGGACAAAAGCTTTGCCGTAGGGACTTTTTTATGAATTAAAGAAGGGAGGGGGTTGGGTCACCCTACCCCAACTTTGGACCTCAATTACAAAAGTTCCGTAACTTTACCAACCTGGGTATTTGGGTCCAGGCAACCTTAGGCAATTGCCTATCATTTGTACCTAGTATGGACAAAAGCTTTGCCGTAGGAACATTTTTATGAATTAAAGAAGGGAGGGGGTTGGGTCACAATAGTTCCGTAACTTTACCGACCTGGGTCTTTAAGTTCAGGCAACCTTAGGCAATTGCCTATCATTTGTATTTAGCGTGGACACAAGCTTTGCCGTAGGAAATCTTTTATGAATTAAAGAAGGGAGGGGGTTAGGTCACCATATCCCAACTTTGGACCTCAATTTTAAAAGTTCCGTAACTTTACCCACCTGGGTCTTTGGGTCCAGGCAACCTTAGGCAATTGCCTATTATTTATACCTAGTGTGGACAAAAGCTTTGCCGTAGGGACTTTTTTATGAATTAAAGAAGGGAGGGGGTTGGGTCACCCTACCTTAACTTTGGACCTCAATTACAATAGTTCCGTAACTTTACCCACCTGGGTCTTTAAGTACAGGCAACCCTAGGCAATTGCCTATCATTTGTACCTAGCGTGGACAAAAGCTTTGCCGGAGGAAATTTTTTATGAATTAAAGAAGGGAGGGGGTTGGCTTACCATATCCCAACATTGGACCTCAATTATAAAAGTTCCGTAACTTTACCCACCTGGGTCTTTTGGTCCAGGCAACCTTAGGCAATTGCCTATCATTTATAGCTAGTGTGGACAAAAACTTTGCCGTAGGGACTTTTTAATGAATTAAAATTAGTAGGTGGTAGGGTCATCCTACCCCAACTTTGGACCTCAATTTAAAAAGTTCCGTAACTTTACCCACCTGGGTCTTTGGGTCAAGGCAACCTTAGGCAATTGCCTATCATTTGCACCTAGTGTGGACAAAAGCTTTGCCGAAGGGACTTTTTTATGCATTAAAATTGGGTGGTGGTAAGGTCACCCTACCCCAACTTTGGACCTCAATTTAAAAAGTTCCGTAACTTTACCCACCTGGGTCTTTGGGTCCAGGCAACCTTAGGCAATTGCCTATCATTTGTACCTAGTGTGGACAAAAGATTTGCCGTAGGAACTTTTTTATGAATTAAAATTGGGTTGGGGTAGGGTCACCCTACCCAAACTTTGGACCTCAATTAAAAAAGTTCCGTAACTTTAGTCACCTGGGTCTTTGGGTCCAGGCAAACTTAGGCAATTGTATATCATCTGTACCTAGTGTGGACAAAAGTTTTGCCGTAGGGACGTTTTTATGAATTTAAATTGGGGTGTGGTAGGGTCACGCTACCCCAACTTTGGACCTCAATTATAAAAGTTCCGTAACTTTACCCACCTGAGTCTTTGGGTCCAGGCAACCTTAGGCAATTGCCTATCATTTGTTCCTAGTTTGGACAAAAGTTTTGCCGTAGGGACTTTTTTATGAATCAAAATTGGGTGGGGGTGGGGTCACCCTACCCCAACTTTGGACCTCAATTAAAAACATTCCGTAACTTTACCCACCTGGATCTTTGAGTCCAGGCAACCTTAGGCAATTGCCTATCATTTGTACCTAGTGTGGACAAAAGCTTTGCCGTAGGGACTTTTTTATGAATTAAAATTAGGTGGGGGTAGGGTCACCCTACCCCAACTTTGGACCTCAATTAAAAACATTCCGTAACTTTACCCACCTGGGTCTTTGAGTCCAGGCAACCTTAGGCAATTGCCTATCATTTGTACCTAGTGTGGACAAAAGCTTTGCCGTAGGGACTTTTTTATGAATTAAAATTGGGTGGTGGTAGGGTCACCCTACCTCAACTTTGGACCAAAATCTTTATGTCAATTCGTTTCTCGTTCTATTTGGGTGCCACTCTTACACTTATCACTCTTCCTATCGAAATATAGTAAATACGTTACCAGAGTGACGACATACTTTTGAATAATTAGAAAAATGAACTAGTTCTTTGACAAAAGAAGAAAACTGCGTATAATGCTTTTATTTCTAAGGAAAATCTAACAAAAAATACTGGACGTTCCAAAATCAGTCGATTTATTTTTCTTTTCTTTTCAAACGCATATGTAAAGTAGAAGATTTATTTGTATCGTTACATGTACACTAGTTTAGTGTGATCTATTGTTATTAATTGTTTCATTATTATAAAAACAACAAACCCATCTCTAATCAGAGAGCACTAAAAAGAGAAAGGATTACCTAATAGGAATTTTAGATGTCCGGTTAAAAAAAAGTTGTATTAGATACACGAATAACTAATTAACTTTGTCTGTGTTAGAATGGAATTGCATTTCGTTCTCCTACTGGAAATTATTGTCATTAGAATTAAAAGGACGTTTTGTGTTATTGCAAGTCTTCGGTTTTTAGGCATGATCATGTTGGCGCGTTTTCTTATTGTTCGCTGGCTTATTGTTCGCTAGCTTGATGCATCTTATTGTTCGCTGGCTTAGTGTTCGCTAGCTTGAGTCTGGTCAGATAGACATAAAATAATTTTGTCGTTCAAAGTATGAGGGGATACATAAATACAGAGTCACGTAAAATGGATATAACAAAAAACAGACTTAACATTAAAAGCATTATTAATAAATAAAATAAAATAATTGTGTGGTACAAAGAATGACGATATACATAAGTACAGAGTCACGTCAAATGTATATCACAAAAAACAGACTCAACAGTAAAAGTAATATTAATAAATAAAATAAAATAATTGTGTGGTACAAAGTATGACGATATACATAAGTACAGAGTCACGTCAAATGGATATCTAAAAAAAACAGACTTAACAGTAAAAGTAATATTAATAAAGATAAATAAAAGAATACTATAACACGTTATTAAGATGATAAACAACGTCAGTACGCAAAATCTATACTTCAAGACCATCGTGTATTATTTGTGAAGTTGATACGGAATATTTATCAACAAGTTCTTGGTACCTTCCGATATTATACTATTTATTATGATTTTAACCTTATTTTACATGATTTCCAAACCACAGTAGATACAGGTGAGCGACATAGGCTCTTCAGAGCATCTAATCTATTTATGTTATCAACATTCAAGGATATACGTCCATAATCGCAGAAAATGGGCAATTGACTTGTTTTTATTTTTGTTACATAACGTTCAAAGTCTACATCAGTTGGTTTCATTCATTTGTCAAACATTTAATATCTAATGGTCCTGTTTGAATTTTTCGTTAAATCCTAGATATTTTTCCTACGTATATCGCAAGCGTTTGTTTGTTTGTTTTACAGAAATAAAGGAAGGACATCAAATTAAAACCATTATCATTGGCTTTTCAAAATGCTACCACGTGTTCCTGACAAATGTTTGTCAATGCTCTTAAACCATATCTGGAGTCAAATCAAAATATAAATTATTTTGGTCTTTGTTGGAGGCCGTACGACTGGTATTTGTTTAAATCTTCGTCTTTTAAACTTAAATGGAAAATTTTGTCATTGGCAATCATAACACATTCCCTTATTTATATAGTAACTAAAGATAAATGTATTCTGAAATGCAAATCGTTAGCTCTTGTGTTGAATTATTCATTATTAGAAATTGCTCACTTTTAACAGACTTATTCTTCATGTGTCAAAACCAACACGACAAATACTACTAATGTGTGTATTTATTAACACAAGTCAATATAAATAATCAGGATGGACGACGATCGATAACATATGTTAAAAAAATCTTGGAAGTTTTTCTAATACAGTGTCACTTGATGAGAATTACTGATTAAATTTTACAGTGTTTGCATTTTTTAAGCCCCCGCCGCAAGGCAAGGCAAAGGGGGCAATAAGTGTTACCATTGACCGCACGTCCCATTTCATTTGAAAACCAATCTTGAGCGGCGGGATCCAGACACATTCTTCTTTTATTTTTTGACAATATTTTGGTAATATTTTTTTTCTCTCTGAACTAAAAAGTTACAAACTAGAATATAATGGTACTCATCACCTATTTCATTTGAGTCACATACATTACATGTTCTTTCTTCTCTATGAATTGTATGCCAATTCAATTGCTCGATTCAATTGGCAAACGATGATAGCCACATCTGAATTTACATAACAAATACATTAGATATGAATGTAGTATCGATAGATAACGCTCAAAACAGAACGCAGTCTTAAATATTCTTTAACACAATTTTTTTATTTGAATTAAAAATGTCAAACGTCCATTCTTGCTTAAATTAGTTTTTAAGTCTAAGTTCTACACTGTTTTCTATCCAATCCGAGGAAAATAACACTGGGATCTCCTTACATTTGATACTGATTTATCGGTCAGATTCTATTGGACTGGATATCTAACTTTTAACATTACAAAATGGCGTTTCCCTGTACTTCCAATACAATCGGTGCATACTATTTTCTCACAAGTATTGACATAATGTGAATAAAGGCACCAATGCAAACCAGTAAAAGTCTATAATGTCCTATATTGTACTCGACTGTACTGATTTGTACTCGACCAGTATGAATTGGTCTGAATTTCACTCGATATTACTTGACCCCGACCTTAACCAGACACGACTGTACTAATTTGCACTTGATCCTTATCTTTGCCATTAAAAAAGGTCTGAACTATTACTCGACCAGTCTGAAACAGTCTTAAATTGTACTAGATCGTGTTTTTCTCTGACCGTTAATGACGTCTTTATTCTTAATCCATTGGATGTTGGATGTGTATACTGATTGATAAATCAGTTTTTAGATGCATGATTGTTTTTAGTGTTTGTTATTGGCTTTGAACTAGCTGTCAGTAACTGCAAGTACTCTCGGATCTGTACTTAGTATTTTTTTGTTGTGGGGATGTTTAAGTACCCTGCCACGTCCACTCTGTGTTTTTGATAGATGTATATCTGCTTCGTATCGATCTGATGAGTTAAGCTCTTTTCAAGTGATTTCTATAGTGTGCTCTAATGATGTACTGTTACATTACTGTCCAATGTTAGGGAGGGTTGGTGCGCCTTCAAACTAGTTTAAACCCCGCCACATTCTGTATGTTCCTGTCCCAAGTCAGGAGCCTGTAATTCAGTGGTTGTCGTTTGTTGCTGCATATCATACTAGTATTTATTTTTCGTTTATTATTTTGTATATAAATCAGGCCGTTAGTTTTCTAGTTTGAATTGTTATACATTTGTCATTTCGGGGCCTTTTATTGCTGACTTTGCGGTATGGGTTTTAATCATTGTTGAAGGCCGTACGGTGACATATAGTTAATTTCTGTGATATTTGGTCTCTTATGGAGAATTGTCTCGTTGGAAATCATACCACATCTTCTTATTTTACCTATTCTCGACCACTTCTCGACCTATTTTTTTCAGTCTGAACCATACTCGACTTGTTGATGTATATTTCATATGTTAGTCATGATAAATATTTAAAAGATGGCAATGTATTTGGTTTTATCTGTATACTTAATATAATTCTTGAACTCCTAATGTGGCGTTCACACAGTGCCGATTATGTCTCCCGCTTGAGATCAGACAGCGCTAAGACACGAAAAGTGAAAAAGACGGATTACTTTCCTCAATTATCTGGAATGTCCTATCATTGCCTGAACGCTGTAGTATACGTTCGTAACAGATTTTTACGGATCGGAGAGGTCGGCCAAACACCCCCGACAGTTAGGTGCGTCCCGTAACGTTCGGGGGAAACTCAGTCGATTTTGTCTAGTCGGATTACAATCGTGTCTTAGACTATGTCGTGACAGATTCTGCTGTATCGGATCAAAACCGTAACAACGTTCTCTGTTTTCTGGACGGTGTCCTGTGGAACGGGCATGATCTGGAGAAATTTGTTTTTGCTGTTTTTTGCCGATTGAGTCTAGATTGCATCACGAATG